GTGCAGTTCCTCCGGCCCTGACCCAGGTACTCACAGCGTGCAAACTTACTGCAGTCACCATTGTTCTGCACACAAATACAACACACACCTCTAAACCTGCAAGGTTTGGACCACACCCCCATATGTATGAGTGTATGTGTATGTGTGTAACATTATAACTACGCTTGCTATGTGTCCCATTGCTGTGATGCTTCCGTTGTTTAAAGCATTTTGTACACCCATGAACCTTCCTGTGGTGCAACTGCAGAAGAAGCAGTACAAACTGCAGGAGGCAGTAAGCGTACCTAGATGGTCTTCCTACCTGTGCTGCTAGGCGTTGCAATGTAATGTACAGATTCAGGCCTTCTGATGGCCTCTGAAATGAATAGTGTCTCCCTTCTGTCCAACAAAACACAGCTGGACCCACCTCCTTTCCACTCACTGGAATCACTGGCTGTTGCCTGTATGTTTTGATTGATTAATAGGAGATCATTGATGCTGCTTAGTACTTACTTGTACTTTTTACTCTTAATCTTTACTCATACTCTTATGTTTCGTAAAGTTGTTCTTTTTTTTAACCTTTCTATTATCATGGACCTGATAGTGTCTGGAATAATGTTTGCATGAATACGTATAACTGGAAGGTCCTGTGAGTTGGTAATTGTGGCTGACTTCCTGTCGGCCTTGTCAGGAGTGTCCTGAACATCTGGACTCTTCAAGGGTTTATCAAACATTGCGTAGAATCCTTACTAAAACCGTACTTAAGCTCAGCAAAAAAAAAAAGAAGTACGTACTTATGCCAAGTAGGTTTGTGCACAGCTGCACGCAATCTCCGCCTCATAAATCAGAGACTAATGAGAATGTTTCTCAGCTGCTTTTTAGTCACATCCCGCCCTCACCACGCCCACTTACTGCCATAAATAGTCAATGCAAAGTGCCTTGTGGATCTCATGCATACACATAAGCCAGCTCACTGAAGCACTCCACTATTATTCGCAGATCAAGGAAGCGCTATTTCACATGCAGAAATTGAGGTACCTGTGGGTGAGGTGGAGAAATGAAAGGAAGTGCTTTTGCAAACCAAATAAGAGAAAATCCACAGAGTGGCACAGCGTTGCTGAAGCCGTCAATGCTGAGTTCTTCAGAGAGATCTGTGGCGGATTTAAAAAAAATGGTCCAATCAGGATTCGATCCCCCGACTCCCAGGTGAAAGTCTCATGTGCTAACCAGTCAGCCAAACGGAGATCTCCCTTGTACAAGTAGCCAGGGCGCATGGTCAATCGGGTCACAGGACACACACTGCCACAGACGCATGACATTCTGTCTCAATCTGTCCCCCTGCTGATATTCTGCATTCTGTATTCTGCGCTACAGGCTGTGTGTGTGCCTGTTTGTGTGTATGTGCATGTTAGTGTGTGTACATGTGTGTGGATGATAGATTGAGTAAATAATAATTGTGGATTCAAAATTATGGTTTATATTCTGCTGAAGTTATTCCACTGAAAAATCTGGTTGATTCCCCATAGGATGGTCATTTAGCATGAGCTGTGAGCTTTGGATGAACTCGGGAGCTCTGGCTAGAATGTCTGCTGTCCACAGGTGGTTCACATCCTACCTCACAGACAGGCATTTTATGGTAAGTTTGGATATCTGCTCCTCTAGGGTCCATGGAATTACATGTGGTGTGCCCCAGGGTTCAATTTTAGGCCCAGTTCTTTTTAACTTCTATATGCTCCCTCTTGGCGGGATCATTAGGAGACATGGAGTGAATTTCCATAGTTACGCTGATGATGCACACTCTGTTGTACATCTCCGTGTCTCCTGATGACACAGCCAATGGACGCACTTTTTAACTGCATCTTAGACATCAAATCCTGGGTGGCAGAAAACTTTCTCCAGCTCAACCAGGACAAAAATGAAGTTTTAGTCATCGGTCCTGAGGAATTCCCCTCTTACCTCGCCCCATCTGGATACCTGTGCCCACCTCTGATTCCTGGATTTTGACCCTGGGCCTGTCTCCTGACTCCTGCTTAAGCCTGCCCCATTTTGGATTACTCTGCTTGTTGTCTTACTGGTTCTGACCCTGGCCTGTCCTCTGACCATCCTCCTGCACAACCACTCGGATCAATCATTGGGTAATATCCCAGAGCCACCAGCTCTTACATCCCTGCCTCCACTAATTAAGGATTTTAACAAAAAATCTTAAACATTTTTCATTGTGTACGGTATTCTGTTCAGGCCCTCACATTCAGCCATCACAGAATAATCTAGCCAAAATGGACCCGGCACCATCACGATTGGCGTTTAGGGGTAAAGAATGCCATCTCCGGGCTCGAGAGAAGTGTTGACGAACTCACCAAGATGCTAAAAGCCACGAATCTCCCCGATACGATCCGTTCTGTTGCAGCTACTTCCGCAGCTGATGCTGCTCCTCATGTGCAGTACCATGTCTCTCCAGTCCATAAGCCATGCCTAACACCACCGGAAGTCCACAAAGGTGATCCCAAACAATCCTGACATTTTTTGACTCGGTGTGAGATTCACTTCGAGCTACAACTCTCTTCCTTTCCCACGGAGAAATCCAAGGTGGCTTACACCATCTTGCTGTTGTCCAGTCGAGCTAAAAAGTGGGAAACAGCAGCATGGTCCAGGGGTTCTCTTATTTGCCACACCTTCAAGGATTTTTCTAATAAACTCGCATGTGTGTTTGATCCTGTCCTGCCACATAAAGAAACCACCAGAGGGTTGTTGTCCCTGAAGCAGGGGCAGCTACGTGTTACAGATTACATCATCGACTTCCACGCCTTAGCAGCTGACAGCCGCTGAAATGAAGAAGCACTGAGTGGCATATTTTACAGAAGGTTATCTGAGGAGATCAAGGACCAGCTTGCCACCAGAGAACCCCCAAAGACACTTGAGGACCTAGAATATTTGGCTACACACATCAACCTCCAGCTAGCAGAACGCAGGAAAGAAAAGGGGAAGAGCAACGCCCATACACCAACTTTCCGGTCCTCGATCGCCACCAGGTCCAATCCAGAACCCTCCCCTGTGAGTACTTAGTTTCCTAAACCCATTTTTGAACCAGAGGAACCCATGCAGATCGGTCGAACCAAGCTTACATCAGAAGAAAGACTCAGACGCAAGAACAATATTCTGTGTTTTTACTGTGGAGCTAACAATCATTCAGTCCACCAGTGTCCATTAAAAGGCCAGGCCCAGTAGGCATTTTGAGGTACCTTCTAGGCCGTTCTTCACCCGACAAAACCTCACCACTGATGTCTGCATCTGCTGATTTTCTGTTTAAAGAATCCAAGCTCACCCTCCCTATCTGTATTGACTCAGGGGCAGACACAGAGTTCATAGACTACGACCAGGCCAAATGAATGGGGTTGAGTTTTTTCCCACCACCAGGTTACAAAGGGTCCTTGCCATTGATGGACACACCATTCAACATGTCACGCAGGAGACATAACCTGTTACTATGAAGCTGAGTGGAAACCATATAGAAAAAACCTGCTTTCTTCTCATCAACTCCCCTGAGCTGCCTGTCATCCTGGGTGCATCCTGGCTTCAAACCTACAACTCCCACATCAACTGGAGGACAGGGGAGATTGTTAACTGGTCCAACCAATGTGTGACTTCATGCCTGCACCATGCCTCACCTTCTGTCCCTGACTCCCAAGCCACATCTGAGACCTACCCTGGCCTGTCCAGAGTCCCAGCGGATTACCATGACCTGAAGGAGGTTTTCAATAAACACAAGGCCACCTCTCTGCCTCCCCACTGACCCTATGACTGTGCCATAGAGCTCCTGCAAGGCTCTTCCCCTGCTAGGGGTCGTCTATATTCCCTATCTGTCCCTGAGAACACCGCCATGCAACAATATATCAAGGATTCACTGAAAGCTGGACTTATTCGTCCCTCCTCTTCCCCTGCTGGTGCTGGTTTCTTCTTTGTGGGAAGTCCCTGCATTGATTACCGAGGATTAAATGACATCACAGTTAAAAATCGCTACCCACTCCCTCTGATTAATACTGCTTTTGATTCCAACCAGGGTGCTCATGTTTTTACCAAGTTGGACCTCAGAAATGCCTATCATCTAGTCAGAATCAGAGAGGGGGATGAATGGAAAACCACCTTTAATACACCTACAGGACAATATGAATATCTGGCCATGCCCTTCGGACTCACTAATGCCCCTGCTACCTTCCAGGCATTTGCCAGCGATGTTCCCAGAGATATGGTGGGACATTGTGTTTTCGTATACCTCAATGATGTGATTATATTTTCTCCAGATCTTGAAAGACACAAGAAACATGGCCAAGCAGTCATCCTTCAGCTCCTGCAGAACAACCTGTTCATCAAGGCGGAGAAATGTGAGTTTCACTGTTCCACCATCGCATTTTTGGGCTTTGTCATCTCTCCTAACCAGATTTCCATGGATCCTGACAAAGTCTCAGCTGTCATTAATTGATACCTCGTGACAAAAAACACCTCCAGAGGTTTCTTGGATTTGCTAATTTATATAGGAGATTCATCAGGAACTACAGCAAGATAGCGGCTCCTCTCCATGTCCTCACCTCCACCAAGGTCAGGTTCGATTGGAATGACCACGTAGACAAAGCTTTCAGTATGTTAAAAAAGACTCTTCACCACTGCCCCAGTGCTTCACTCCCCAGACCCAAATCGTCAATTCCTTGTTGAGGTGGATGCCTCGGATGGTGGTGTGGGGGTGATCCTCCGTCAAAAGTACGAAGATAATAAAGTTCACCCCTTGACTTTTTTTCCAGAGGTTTATCTTCAGCTGAAAGGAACTATGACATTGGGGATCTGGGAATTTTGGCTGTCAAGCTTGCCCTCTAGGATTGGAGACACTGGTTGGAGGGGACTAAGGCACCTTTCCTTGATTGGACAGATCACAAGAACCTAAAGTATCTCAAGTCAGCTAAGAGACTGAACCCCTGTCAGGCCAGGTGGGCTCTGTTTTTTAGTCGTTTTAACTTTGTCCTTTCCTACAGGCCGGGGTCTAAAAATGTTTAACCAGATGCCCTCTCCCGCATCACTGAAACCACTCTCAAAGACC